CATCTGCTTTGTTCATCCTGACTCCCATGAAAGGGTTACTTCAGGATGAGGGCTATGCCGTTTGGCAGCTCAATGGCTGTTTACTCGTTTTTAAGGATAAGTCATTCGCTTTGGTACATCGGGACCAAGGCGCTCTTGTTGCCCTGGTCGTCGTTCTTCGACGACTACATTACATTCGCCACTGAAGGGCAAGCCAAGTCTGCTGAGCATTCGGTCACGGCTATGCTACGGCTGGTGGGGTGGGCGTTCGCCGAGTCCGGTGACAAATCTCATGAGTTCTCTCAGTGCTTTCAAGCTTTAGGCATTGTGGTCGATTTAAGTTCGGTCCTTCGAGGTACGGTTTACTTTAGGAACACCGAAAGGCGAGTGTCTGAAATCAAGTCCTTCATTATAAGGTTCTGGCTTCAGGCCACCTTCCTCACCACGAGGCGCTCAGGCTGCGAGGCAGGTGCCAGTTTGCCGATTCCCAAGTCTTCGGCCGAACAGGGAAGAAGTGCTTGAGCCTAATCACGGCTCACGCCTTCAGCTTCAGCGAAGACGTCAGTCCTGAGCTGAGGACTGAGCTTCAGAGGTTTTCGTTGAGGTTGGAGATTGAAGCCCCGCGACTGACTTTAGTGATGATCCGAAACGTTGCACTGCCGCTCAAGCTTCTGATGTGGTCTGTCGTCGAGGTCCTCCCACATCTCGTTTCCTTCCTGAACTTCGGGTCAAACTCGTATTGGTTCGGTCTCTCCTGTCCTGCTCATTGTCAGGCTTCCTTTACCTTTAACCTTGCCCTCTTCTCTGCCGGGTTGGGTTTTGGTTGCGTAGCCTGCTTTGGGTTCTTCTGGTTTTTCGTGCTGGCTCCGGCCTCTGCTCGGCCTGCCGAGGCCCCTCCTCCAGGTTTCCGTCAGATGCCTAGGCCAGGTGCACTAAGGCTGCGAGGGTATTTGCGTGAGCCAGGAGCCGGACCTGGACCAGGCAATTACTGAGGTCCAAGAAGCCCTTGAGAGGCTTCGGCTTGCCACTTCTCGTGCAAGTGACAACTGGGAGGTGGTTGACAGCCCTCCCCTTGCTTTCCCTGCAGCGGCTGCGGCTGCCTCTGTTACCTTAACTCAGGACGGCTACCACTCCACTCCGCCCGCCGACCGTGCAACGCAAGTGCAGTGTAGGAGTGTCCCGCGCTCCCGCGCCTCTACCGCAGCCAGTTTCCCAGCCTGCCCTCAGCATTGCCTTGACCTCTGCCGTCCGTTGTCGGCGTCCGGGTTGGGTCCGGAAGGGAGAGCCAGACGTGCGTGGCGCGCCGGCTGTTGGGCCAGGGAGGTTATCGAAGGTCGGTGGCCGACCCCGCTCTCCAGCGAGGCCCTCAACCTTAGGCCTTCGGTCTACGTTGTGCTTTGGGATCCTAGCCTGCCTGACGGTGCTCGCTTCTCAAGCTTTTCGGCCCTGCGCGCAGTCATTGGAGACGTGTCCTCCTCACGTGCGGTGTTCCACTCCTTCCCCTCACTTGCTGAGGCTAAGGTGTACTGCTACGGAGCCCAGCGCCCCTTGCCTGACTTGCGGTGATAATGCAGGCCTCCGACCTCAGGATAGAGCCTGGCAGCCTAGGATCGTCTTGCATCTTGAGGTGGCCCTTGGACTCGTCACCGGACCCGGGCCGCCAGGTCTTGTGCCTTCCCATATTGCAAAGGAATGGAGGCTTTCTCGCTGCGCTTCCATCCGCCCTGCTAGCCTCGGCCCAGGAGAATGCATCTTCTCCCCTCCCCTCCGACCTGCTAGGCCCATTTGTTACCGTGTCGGTGCCGGGCATAGAAGACGAAGATGCAGGCGAGGTCCCCGCAGGGGTGGACGTGGAGGTTCTGGTGGTGGACCTGGACGAAGCAATCCTTGCTGCAATGAGGCTGTACGATCCCGTTACGGATCTGGTGTTCGAGAGTTTCCTTCCCGAGGCGGCTCATATCATGCCTCAGCCGGAGATGTTGATTGCAGCGGCAAAAGCTTGGGTGGAGGAGGAGGCCTCAGACCGCCTGGCCTTCTATTCAGCCTCTCCGAAGAGGCCGGCTGCGAAGAAGAAGGTCACGATGACCCAGCTCTCAGAGCAGGTGGCAGCAATTGCCGCTGTTATCCCCAGCCTGGCAGATCAGATCAGGCTGGTTGCAGAGAAGCAAGCCACGTCGTCGGCAACCCCTGTGGCTGCCGCTCCGCAGCCCCCGGCCGGTTTGCAGCAGGCTTTTCCCACCATAGCGGCAGCTCCCGTGGCCGTCCCTCTGCAGCAGATGGCAAAGCAGCTTCCCGCCCCGGGCCAGGTGCAACATCAGGCAAAGGTTCCGCAGGCCGCCCCGGGCCCCGCCGGCTCATCCTCAGACGGCTCCTCTCTCGCCAAGGCGGTGACTCAGCAAGGCGAGGCCCTCAGCCAACTAGTCGCCCACCTGATCGCTCAGAGCGAGACGCTAGACCTCACTGGGAACTCGACCAGCCTTTCGGCAAAGGGCACGGCGAAGAGAGAGAAGTTGCAACAGGACTTGGCCTCTGGCAACACGAACTTCTTTCTCCAGGTTGTGCAGTCGGCCCACCGTCGCCTCTACCCTGCCTTGCCCCTGCCTTCTTCGGTGGAGGAGGCTCAGACTTCTGGCCGGGTTTCAATAGTGAGCTACCTGGAGAGGACGGGGGGCTACGACCGGTCCCGCGAGCTGGGGATGATGATGATGCTTCTTGCTTCCATTGCAGATGCCTTCCTTAGGGGGGACAACCATGCAGCCCGGGAGCATACTGCCCTGGCCCTCGCAGCCACGGAGCAAGCTGCCAGCGACTCGGGCCGGTGGGACCTGGCCTTCCTGCTGAGCCTGGCCCTCTCTGAATGTGTTTGCCCCCACACCGGCGAGCGGGGCAGGAAGGACGAGAGCGTTCAGCCCCTTGGTTCCTGCTGGGCTCGCCGCTGTCACTCTGGCTTATATTCGGGAGATAGACCTTTTGACCCAGCGCCGCCGCGATGCTGCCAACCCTTCTCGCGCTTTGCCGAAACAAGAAGGAGCCGACAGCCAAGCAGCTCCCAAGCGGAGGCCTCGGTTTCCGAGAAAACCAAAGGACCAAGCCCAGCAATGATTGGTTGCGTGCCGGGCCCATCTGCTATTAGCCCTCTGCCTTGTCTTCCCCGGCGTTCGGCCCACAAAGATGGACTGGGAGCGACCAGGGAAATTCGGAGCCAGTATAAGCCGTGTGCCTTGCCTTCGTGCCTGGGCGGCCCGGCCCACAATACCAGCAGGAGCTCCGCTGCTACACGGCCTCCGTTTGAGGTCCCTGACCACTCAGAAAATTCATGCATGACTGCAGGCCTTTGTCCTCCTGTCAATCCTTCTGTGTGCCGCCCGGAAAAGCATCTCTCATTTCGGGCCTGGTCGCTTCGCGCCCATTTGAATTTTATTAAATCGCGCACGGCCTTTGGCAATTTTATCAAGAGCACTTTGCATCTTAGCCGGTGCGGGCCTTCGCCCCCGGCCTCGGTTCTCTTTCCTCTGCCCCTGCCCTATACGGCCATCTTCCAAGCTCGCCCCGAGGCATTGTCATCGAGGCGGAGGGCCACTTTGGGGATTAAGAGGGTTCTGCATGTCCTGGTGATGGCTCTGAATTTTATCCACCAGGATTGTGCCTTCGTGCCTCTCAGGCTTTTGAGGTCTCCTCCGAACGCCGCTCAGCAGCGTGTCTTGACCTACCTCGAAGCACTTGTGAGAACCTACGGTAGTGGACAGGAGGATGTCGTTCCCTCCTCCACCGGCCGCCGAATGAATGTGTTGCATGCCAGGCTTTGTGAGGTTTCCGAGCACCTTACCCGACTTGGGTCTGTTGGTGACGCCTACCGCCATGTGCCTTCAGGTGAGGACGTGCCGGCTGACACAGCCGATGAGGCCCTTCAGCCCTACCGGGCCCTCGACGCCGATCGCCTTAAGCTTGTTGGCCGTGCTCAGTGGGACCCGCAACCGTGGCTCAGCGATGATCTCTGGATGGCCTATGCCGAGCCCCAAAGCCTCCTCATTTCGAGGACCCCGGCCGAGGACGAGTATCCTGACTGTTCCCTGGAGGACCCCGAGCAGACTCTCAAGCTTGCTCTTTTATGGGACAGCCTTGGGCTCCTCGTCATCGTGCCTTCATGCTTGTCCTTGGAAGGGTGCGAGTATACTCGCATTTTTAATGCCCGCAAAAGCGCTGTCCTCGACAGACACATCGGGGATCGACGAGGGAGGAACTCAATCGAAGCGCGGATCTGTGGCCCTTCGGCATCCCTACCGACCGGTGAAAGCCTCACCAGCATCAGCGTCGATCCTCGTACCGCTTCCCTGGCAATGGGGGTGACAGATAGACGAGACTTCTATCACCAATTGTCCGTTGATGGCGCCCGCGCGGTGAAGAACAGGCTGTATCCCCCCCTCTCTGCCGAGAGCCTGGCGGGGACCAAGGCAATGAAGTTATACCAGGAGCTGCACCCGGGCCAGAGGATCCCGCTCACGTTTCAAGCTTGTTTCTCTTCTGTTCTTCAGGGAGATCACTTGGGAGTGGAATTCGCAACCAGTGCGCATCTCTCTTTGCTTCAAGGGGCAGGCCTTTTGACCCCGGCCACCAGGATCCAGGGGGGGAAACCTCTGCGCGACTCTCCTTTGCACGACGGGTTGATAATAGACGATTTCTTCTGCATCGCCAAGGTGCCAAGGAGCTCCACTGGCTCCCTTTCTCCGACTTCGTCTTCGCCTTGCCGTGATGCGCTGGACCGGGCCCTGGCGGCCTACAGTGCCAACTCTATCCTCGGATCGCCTGAGAAAGACACTGCCAACGAGGTCGTCGCCAAGATTGGTGGCGCTGAGCTAAACAGTGCCCCGGCCACCTTAGATAGAGGTTTGTGCACCGCCGCTGCCCCTGCTGGAAAGAGATTTGCGTTGACATGTGTGACGCTTGACGTCGCCGCCCTTCCGGGGACCAGCGATTCACTTCACCTTTGTTTGCTGGGGGCCTGGTCGTCGGTCCTCTCGTTTCGCCGGCCTGGTTTTTGCGTGCTTGACCGAGCCTTCTCCCTCGTCACTGCCGCTGCCACCGACCCGGCTAGGCCTAAGGTCTTGTCTTTGCCAAGAGCCGTCGCGCAGGAGTTTGTCCTTTTGTCGGCGCTCGCGCCGGTCTTGTGCGCAGACCTAGCGGCCCCTTCTTTGCCTTTCCTATTTGCAACTGACGCCTCCGAGGGGAAGGGTGCCGCTTGCATCGCAAAGATCCCTCAGGCCACTAGCCAGCATCTTTGGCAGGCCTCCGACCGGAAGGGCGCTTTTGCCCGCATGGCACGCAGGACGCAGGGCCTCTTGCAGCGAGTCGACCCTATGCACGAGGAGGTGCCCAGCCCCGGAACTCTTGCGCCGAGCCCCAAGAAGCTGCTGGCATTCATGTTTGATTTTCTCGAGCTCTTTTCAGGCAGGGCCGAGGTTACTTCGGAAATGTCTGCACGCGGCTGGGCAGTTGGGCCCCCCATCCATCACAGTCGGTCCCCGGCATATGATGCCCGAAACCCGCGACTTCTTGAGTGGATTTTCTTCTTGATTGAAAATGATAGGGTGAGAGCTATCTTTCTTTCCTTGCCCCCCCAGTCCCTTCCTTCTAGGCAGGACTGGGTTGAACTGTGCCGGGGCTTTGCCATCCTGCTCAAGAGCCGAAGCTTTCGTGTCTGCATTGTCGCGGCATTGCCTGCTGCCACGGCCGAGCATCCTGATGTGCAGGGGCTCCTCAGGCCCCTCGGGAAACTTGGAGTTGAGAAGACGTCCCTCTCCCTCTGCGCTTTCGGCTCCCCCTTCCGCAGGGACACTGTTCTTCTGAGCCTTCGTGTCGACCTTGCTGCTCTCGACCGGCCTTGTGCTTGTAAGCAGAAACACACCCAGGTGAGAGGGAGGAGAGCTGGGAGAGGCCCTGTTTACCCGTGGCTTTTTGCATTCCAGGTTTCCGAGGCCCTTTCGTCAGGACTGCGTCGAATGGGGCGTGAGGATTTTGCCTGGAAGGTATCGCACGAGGGCCTTGAGAGGCTCGTTGCTACCGACCTCGCCCTCGGGCTTCGCTGGCGCCCTCTCCTCGTCTGGGAGTGGAAGAGTGGTGCCCACATAAATATATTGGAGTCTTCGGCCCTCGTTCGCCTTTATACCTGGATTGCAGTGACCTTTGGCCGGGCTCGTTTCGTCAACCTTTGTGACTCTTTCGTTGCGCAGGCTGCACTGGGAAAGGGCAGGTCCTCCGCCCCCGGTCTCAGGCATGTCTCAAGAAGGTCAGGTGCTGTTTGCCTCGCTGCCCGCCTCTACCCAGGCAACCTCTATTGCCCTACGAGGGCAATGCCGGCCGACCGCCCGACGCGAGACGCTCCGATGCCCCCTTCCAGTCGCTGGTTTTGGCCTTGAGCGCTGGACTGAGGAGGCCATCCTCCGTGATGCCGAGAGGCCCAGGCTACGAAGGTGGGCTGCAAATTGGTGCCGGCTTGCTGGGCTCTTAGTTCCTTCTCTCGTCCTCGGCCCCTGGCCGAACGACTGTCTTTTGGACTCAGGCCGGTCACCACATACATATGGGTCCCTCCTCGACTTTGATGCGAGTCTTGGTTTTCCTGGTGAAGGACCCTTTGTCGCCCTACTTAGCCGCCTCTCTGCCTTCGGCGCTGGTCTGCTCAGCATGCTCCCCTATGGTGGTCTTTCGCCTGGACTTGCCGTCTTGCTGGGTCTGGGCTGCAACTCCCTGGTTCAGGGCCCCAGTACCCCCGCGTGCAGGCACATGCTTCTGTGCCCCTTCGGTAGCCCTTCTTGGGCTCTTTCTCCGAGCCTTGGCCTGGATTCGGCTGCCTACTCCTGCTTCCTGCGAGCTCTTGGGGCCAATCCGTGCTTGTACCCTGGCCTTACCACCTGCAGTTCCTCGCTGCCCCTTCAGCAGCTCCCCTTCGCCCAAGGTTTTGGCCACAACCTTCAGAACCGCTGTCCCTACGTCTTCGTTGCGTGCTGCTCCCGGCCGTCTTCTGCGCAGATCTCCGGTGCCTTCTGTCTGGGCTGCAACTCCCTGGATCAGGGCCCCAGCACCCTCGCTGCATGCTGCTTCTCGCCACCTTCCAACAAACTCTCTGGTGTGCTCAGTCCGGGCCGCAACTCCCTGGATCAGGGCCCCGGCATCCCTATCGCATGCTGCTCCTCGCCGTCTTCCAAGCAACTCCTCAGTGCCTTTAGTCTGGGCTGCAACTCCCTGGTTCAGGGCCCCAGCATCCTCGTCGCCTGTGGCTTCTCCCCGTCTTCGGAGCAACTCCTCAGTGCATTTAGTCTGGGCTGCAACTCCCTGGTTCAGGGCCCCAGACTATTGCTTTCAGCCTGCATCTCCCAAAGGGCACCACAAGTCCACCACAGGTCTAGTGCCACCGCCCAGTTTCCTCTGCCTGTTCAGGGTTGGTTTAGGGTTCTCTCTCTCTTTTGCCTTGCCTCCCACTCTCCTGTCGTCTGTCTTAGTCTGTCTCAGGTAGGTCCCGTCGCCGCCATGGATGCTGCTAGAAGGGCCACCCAAGATGACAGGCGAAAGAGCAGCGCTTTGGCGCCACTGCTCGAAGGCCGACCGGTGCAAGCCCTTACCCGTGACAGGAGGAGCAAGCTGAAGACTAGCTGGATCGGATGGCTAGCCGATGAAGGCTATTCCTGGGAAGATGTGGGCCGCTGGGCTCGAAACGACGTTAGCAAGCTGAACCAGGTGCTGTCCAGGTACGGAAAGTGGCTCTACGAAGACGGGTGGCCCTACTACTGGCTCTCCGAGACCATTAATAATTAATATGGTCTCCTCTGAGTTTCCTACAGTGAGGAGGTTTTTGCAACAAGTTTGGGACCTGGCGCAAGCTTGGCAGAGGGAGGAACCACCAACACATCACTCTGCACTTCCCTGGCAGGTGCTGGCAGCATTGCTTTCAGTCTCTATTACCTGGGGATGGATCAGAGTTGCAGGGATTATAGCCTTGGCCTGGGGCGGCCTGGCAAGAATAGGAGAACTGTTGGCTGCAAACAGGAAGAATTTGTGCTCCCGGCGGACACAGGGGACGACGCACAGGTCGTCTACATGTCTGTCATGGAGCCAAAAACGCGCTTCCGAGCTGCCAGACATCAGTGCTTGAAGGTGGACCAGCCGCAACTGGTCCGCCTTATTTGCCTGGCCTTCGGAAACCTGGACCCAGACGAGAAGCTTTGGTTGATGTCACCATCAACGCTGCGGGCAAGGTTCGACAAGCTTCTGGCCGCGTTGACGTTGACGCGGAACCTGGTCCCAGGGGTGAAGGATTTTGACTTAGGCTCGCTACGAGCCGGAGGAGCGACATGGATGATGCAGGTCACCGAGAGTCCAGACCTGGTAAGACGACGAGGCCGTTGGGTTTCCAACCGCATCATGGAAATCTACGTACAAGAAGTCAGTGCTCTTATGTATCTTCTAAGGTTGCCCCCGCGGACACAAAAATTTATATCTATCAGTGGGCAAATAGCTTGAACAGCTGCCTTGACGCCGCGGCCAAGTTCTCAGCTTACAAGCTTCCTCCGTGCCACTGGCACGCTCTGCTCCGTCAAGGCGTGGTCATGCCATGAGGTGTGGGTGAACGTTTCTATACGATGGATCATGAAAAATGCTTGAAAGGGACGGGTGTGGTGCAAACTGTACAGCATCGCAAAGAATGCGACCGCTAACCTGTGACCCTTCGAAGCAGATGCAAAAGAGAGGTGAATCACTGACTTTAGTGATGATCCGAAACGTTGCACCCTCCCGACCCGCGCCCTTCGGCGCAAACTGTACAGCATCGCAAAGAATGCGACCGCTAACCTGTGACCCTTCGAAGCAGATGCAAAAGAGAGGTGAATCACTGATTAAGCTTGTTGAGGGCGGTGCCTGGAAAGTCTATACCGATGCATCTTACGAGCCAGGAGCTGGGTGCAGCTTCTGTGGACTTGCGGGTGTTTTAGTAGACCCGAAGGGTAAGCCTCGAAAATTCTTCTCCTTTGTTTTGACTGAGTCGCAGAAAACTTTTCTTGGAGAGAA